TTAATAAAGACACTACTATGACTTCATAGAGTGAGGGTATATTCGAGAAAGTCATCGATGCTTACTTGGTTAGAGTTAGGAAGTGTGTTATTTTGTTATTGAATTGATCTAAGAAGTAAAATAAATTGTTTGGTCTAGAGAGAGAACATATTCAATAATGTTTTGCAATTATTCAATGGGTAGAAATATGTGGGCTATTTGGGTACGATATTATGGACAGGTATGATGTGTTCTAGTAAGGTATCTAATGGACTTTCATGGTGTGACAGTACTAGGGTTATGTGGAAACAGGTACGTCGATTATCAAGTATGAATACTAATTACTAAAGGAGTTACAAGTTGTATGACATGGTCAGATAATAAGATTTAGTGTTGCATTCACATTTGAGAAACCAACTAGTTTATTACTACACGAACTTAGATTGAGCATTATTTTAAAGGAAAATTTTAGTGGTTGAACATTATTTTAAAGAAAATCTTTAGTGGTGGATCTTTGGTACAAATATTAACATAACTTAAACTGTGCAATGTATCCTGAGGGTTTTGAGTGAGGACTGATGGTTTTATCTTAAGCTTCAAAAGGTAGATTAATACTAGCATGACAGACTTATAGGGAAAGAAAATCCTAGTGGGTATACTTTGGGTGAAGTAAAATGAAGATTTTAGTAAGAAAATGAATACAAAATTTGTTAGTCCCTTCATTTTGATTACTATATCTGAGTTTAAGGTGTCATGTTGAGGAAAAAAATTTTGACTTTGTGGTGATGAAAAGGGCTTACTAATACATGATGGTGATAGGAGTAAGTGATGGATGGTGACGGAGATGCAAATTATAGAATACAAATTATTGGTCAAATAAATTTTGTATGGTGATAAAAACTTGCGAGTATCTAAGGTTGATATTTCTACTATTTAGTGAGTAATGTGGTTGTATGATAAATTTTAGGAGATTTAGGGCACACTCGGATATAATTTAAAGGAGCTGGAATCATAACTAAAATAAGATAAAACTTGTGGGATGTGTAGCCTTAAGAAAAATAAGTGAGAGCAGAATTATTTTCTCTGATTGTAAGAACTAAAAATGTATCTTCGAAGGGATCGAGAATTGGGTTCAAAATTGCGTGATTTCATCTATTTTGTTTTGGTTAAGGTAATAGCATAACAGGTTAATCCGCTTGGTTAAAAGCTATTGAATAGAACTTAAGAGAGAAGTGTACAAACGTTCAACTTGAGTGAGATGATAGGTTCTGTTGTACTGTTGAATTTAGAAATGAGTAGGGTTGGATTTTTAGTGAAGCATATGGTATGGTTGGTGGAGAGGCAATCAATGATAAGCTAAGATAAGGTGATTCGTAAAAATCTTCAAAGTATAAGCAAATGTAGATAATTAAGGGCATTGTGTTACACAATTGGACTTATAATTCAAATTATTTTTTTTTGTTATAAGTCTGAATTTCTGGTGGTATATTTTGTCAAGGTATGAATTAGTAAGATGAAAAACAATTGATTGCATCGTTATTGAGCACGTGAAAGAATTTATGCATGCTTTGGACCATAAAGTTGTTACTTTTGATTGTTAAAGGATCTAAGGAAGGGTTTACCCTCGGAGTTTTGATTTAGAGTGTGAAGTAAAATGTCATGGATTATTAGTAAAACATGAGATCGGTAAGCAAGCTAGATAAACAAGAGTTTGATATATTGAAGGAGCGAGATATTTAGAATTTGCACCATGAAAAGAATTTGAGAAGAGTGATAGAATAAGACCTCTCGCATAAATCAATGGGGTGTAGTTGATGGTTGTTTTAATTTTTGCCTATGAGTTTAGATATAATTGTGAGATGTGAACTAGTTCGGTACAGACTTACTAGGAGTTTATCATCGACTTCTAAAAAAAAGAGTTTTGGTTTAGGTGACAAATAATGAGGTATGAAAATTTTAGTATTTTACAATGAGGTTAGATTGCTCAAATTAGGATAGAAGACTTAAGAATGATGTAAAAGGTGAGATATAATTCTACATGGTTATTAATAATAAAGTTGGGTTAATACTACTCTATTGATGGGACTTCATAGAATGTTAAGGTGTGTTACATGGACATTTGATGGTTAATAGAGGTTATGAGCTTATAGTATACAGAATAGTTTGAGTGACAAAGAATTTTCCTAAGTTTTGGCATGATATATATATTGGTTTAAAATGGTACCTTAAGCATGGTATGTGAAAGTGATGTAGAGTTGACTTTGGGTGTGATTTAATAGTTTTGTCTCAATGAAAAGGTACTATCACATTTGAAATTAGTGCTATAGGCCTTATTTGGGACTCGTATCTGTCAGGAAATGCTTAAATAGAAAGAGATAGCCATAGTTTGAACATGTATTTGATAAGCATACTTAGATACTAATGATAGTTTGAGAGTAAGGTAGATGATCGATGTAGTTATACGTTTTGTTATTATTAAGAGTGTTGACTTCAATGAATGTGGAGTTTGATAAACCAAGTATGTGTGCAATTATATTAGAGACATTCTATGAGGGGAGGTGTAGATCTCTAGTTTTTGATACTATTGAGATGAGACAATGGGTATTAATATTTTGGAATAATCATTGAGATAACTATCCATTCTTGCCTTGCCTTCCTTTGATCGTTCGAGGACGAACGATGGGTAAATTGATATCTATTGTAACAACCCGTGTAGTCGGTTTGGGCACTAGAAATTTTTATGTTAGAAAATACTTTCTGATAGATTTAAGTGGGTGTTTTGGACTATTCATAATTATAGTTATGAAATTGGTGGGGTAGTTTTACTAATTTATTTAGTTAATGGTTAAGAAATAATATTATAATTAATAGTGGGTCACTTTTATCACTATTATAATTATATGAGTATAATAATTAGGGTAACAAATAATCTGTAGAAGAAAAGAGGAAAAAAGAAGAACACTGAGAAAGACGGCTTACCTGTTCAGCTACATTAAAGATTAAGCGTGGATTCGTTTAGCGGTAAGTTTCTTTATAAATTCGTAACATACAGATTGGTGGAAAGAATATATTAGTTCTTGTAAAACTATAAATGTTCAGGTGTATGCTAAATTTCTACGAGATAGGTTTAAGTCTAATTGTTGATTAAAAAAGTTAGGCAGCCATTAATCATTAATGTGTAAACAAATTGGAAGATTAAGGTATGGATGTGAATGTGGAAAAACTTACTGTCACTGGGTTGGCACCAGTAACTTAAAATTTTTAGACATTAAAATATTTTATACCTTATTATATGTTATAATTTTATACATTGAAGTATGAAATTAATTATGGTTGGATAAGAAGGTATTAGATGAGAAGAATTGCTAAGTTGTAAAATTGGGTTAGACGTTTTGCCACTAGAGTTCGAAACCAGTGCTTGATCTTGAATTAAACTGCGTATCATCCTCTTATAAATTGAGTTTAGTATATTAAAATAGGTAATTAAATGTTAGGTGTATGGAATTATTTATATTTCATTAAAGTTATTTTAATTAGGGGAACTAAGACCTACCCTTAGTTTGAACTTTAGGAATTTGATTTTATAATTAGGTGAGTTTTTAGGTCTAGGCTAAATATAGAATAATCTGAGTGTTTATAGACTCGTTAACTTACAAATTATGCATATATATACTTGATAGATTGGAAAGGTTCGGAGGCAATAAGGAAAGGAAAGGCATTGGAGAAGTAGTTACTTGACTTCAATTCTTCGGTGGACGTAGGTTATGGTTTATGCTATTTGATAGCAAACTCTTAATAGTGATTGATATGCCTGGAATGATATTGTGAAGTTCTCTATGTACTTGACTGTGTGATTTGGTTGTGTGGTTTGTGATTGTTCTGAAATCCTGAGACCATAGAATTTATATTCTCTAATCCTATCTATCGAAGTGATGCCTTGAATAAAGAAGGCTTGATGAAAATAATATAACAATGAATTGAAAGCGGTGATAATAAAGGACAAATCAATAGTATAATTGGATCGGAGTGTCACGTTCCGACACGGTATTCTTGGATTGGAGTGTCACGTTCCGACACGATATTTTTGGATTGGAGTGTCACGTTTCGACACGGTATTCTTGGATCGGAGTGTCACGTTCCGACACGGTATTTTGGATCGGAGTATCACGTTCCGACACAGTATTTTTGGATCGGAATGTCACGTTCCGACACGATAATATTGAAGGAAAATATGGTAAATTAATGGAAGTTATTCAATCTCAAAGAACTCAACTCCCAAAATGGTTTGGTTTGGAGGCATGAGTCCTCATGTGTGATCTTGATACCGTTGACTTAATAAGTGCTTACTTTATTGTTATTGACACTTGTTCATGTTGTTTGTTGCTTATCACATGTTAAGTGCTATAGTTGAGTTCATACTATTATTCTTTGTATATTAGTTACTATTTTGGGTTGACCGATGATACTTACTCAGTACATGTTGCCTCGTACTGAGTCCTACTTGTTTTCTTCTTTGTTTTCCTTTTATGAAATGCAGCGAGTGTACCTATGACTTCTGATTTCCCTCAGCTCTAGCCAGCCTCCCGCATATCAAGTTAAAGGGTGAGCTATCCATTAAAGCTCGTGTTGGATTCTCTCGGTCACGACATGATGTCCTATACTTTCGGACACATACCATTTTATTCTTTATTTTAGTGTATTCGATATTCTTAGACATAGTATTGGAGATTAGATGTCCTTGATGTGATGACTATCAGATTTTGGGATGATAAATATTAAACTTTAGAAACTTATTTAAATTGGTTGCTTAGTATCTTTTGGAGCTTTCGCATTATTTATATTATTTATAATTGAAGTATTGGTATATGTTGGGGTTTAGATGTGTTGGTTCGCCACTTAAGGAGGTAGGTGTGGGTGCCATTCACGACCCGTTTTGGGTCGTGACAAATTCTCTTTCGAATAAATCACTTCCCTCTAGACTATCTTGTCGCTAATACATCTCCGGATCCTATCTCTGTATTTAGATGCCGTATGCCCTCTCTGTTACACCCCTATGTGACAGAGTTTAAAGAATTAGAGAAGTTGAATTATTAGTGAAGAGATGGAAAAGGAACAGCTGAGTATTATGCCCATTACTTCACAGGTTGTAAGAGGGCCTTGAAAATTGTCGTGAAAAACGACAATTTTACATAATTCCAAATATCCCCATGTGAAATTCTTCCTCTTTACTACTAGCTTATCTTCTCCCTCTCTTTATTTGAAGTACTTTGTGTCAGAAAACTCTGAGAACCTCTCACAATGTGGGAATCAGAAAGTGAGTCTGTTAGTGGTAGAGACTATGGAAATGGTGTTCTCAACAACACCAAACATGGGGTCAAGACTGATGGTTTTGAGCAAAAAGGACAGTCTTGGTATGAACTTTTTATTACTTTAACTTTCTCAAACATAATGTAATGTGTCTGTTTTTTCCATTTAAATGTGTTATTATTAATAGGTATGTAGCAACTGATATTCCCAGTGACCTTTTAGTTCAAATTGGAGATGTTAGTTTCCACTTACATAAGGTACATACTAAACCTCTCCTCAATGTCTTACATAAATAATTAGATGACTAACTGATACTTTTTTTTTCAAAAAAAAAAAAAAGTATCCTTTGCTTTCTAGAAGTGGAAAGATGAACAGAATCATATATGAAACAAGGGATGAAGAATTGAGCAGAATAGCTTTAAATGACTTACCAGGTGGATGGGAGGCATTTGAGTTAGCTGCAAAATTCTGTTATGGAATTGCTGTTGATCTCACAGCAACCAATATCTCCGGTTTACGATGTGCAGCGGAGTACTTAGAAATGACTGAGGACTTAGAAGAAGGCAATCTAATATTCAAGACTGAAGCTTTTCTAAGTTATGTCGTTTTATCATCATGGAGGGACTCTATACTGGTGTTGAAGAGTTGTGAAAGGTTATCACCATGGGCTGAAAACCTTCAAATTGTTCGAAGATGCAGCGAGTCAATTGCATGGAAAGCGTGTGCCAATCCAAAAGGAATAAAATGGCAATACACTGGCAGACTACCTACTAGTGTTTCCAGCCCTAAATGGAATGAAATGAAGGATTCCAGTCCGAGCAGAAACCAGCAATTAGTACCCCCTGATTGGTGGTTCGAGGATGTCTCTATTCTCAGGATTGATCACTTTGTCAGAGTCATTACTGCTATTAAGGTAAAAGGCATGCGACATGAACTGATTGGTGCTGTTCTTATGCACTATGCTACTAAATGGATCCCGGGGCTAATTAAAGAAGGATCCGGATCGTTGGATGATTGTAGCAACAGCAGTACTAGTAATGGCAGTAGCAGCAGTAGCTGGAAAGGAGGTCTTCATATGATAGTGTCAGGATCTAGAGAGGAAGTACCAACTATTCAAGCCAAAGATCAGAGGATGATTATCGAAAGCCTAATTAGCATAATCCCACAACAGAAGGACAGCGTCTCGTGTAGCTTCCTTCTACGTCTTTTGAGAATGGCAAACCTGCTGAAAGTGGCTCCAGCACTTGTAACAGAATTGGAGAAACGAGTCGGGATGCAGTTTGAGCAGGCTACCTTAGCTGATCTACTCATACCGTCTTACAATAAAAGTGAGACATTGTATGATGTTGATCTTGTTCAGAGGCTTTTGGAACATTTCTTAGTTCAAGAGCAAACAGAAAGTTCAAGCCCTAGTAGAAGTTCATTCTCTGATAAGCATATGCATGATGCAAATCAAAGGGGTGCTAATCTCAACGCCAAGATGAGAGTCGCAAAGCTTGTAGACAGTTATCTCACTGAAGTATCCAGAGATCGAAACCTTTCCTTGACAAAATTTCAGGTCTTGGCTGAGGCTTTACCAGAATCAGCAAGAACTTGTGATGATGGATTGTATCGTGCAATTGATTCGTATCTTAAGGTACTTGATTTTTGTATCATTATTTCCTGAAGTTACCTTTGTTGAGCCTACATTATTTGCTAGTGTTATTTGTAACCTAATTTTTCAAAAACTTACTATGTATACACCATGAGTACAGGCCCATCCAACTCTGTCAGAACACGAAAGAAAGCGGCTCTGCAGGGTGATGGATTGCCAAAAACTGTCTATTGATGCTTGCATGCACGCTGCTCAGAACGAAAGGCTTCCACTACGAGTAGTGGTGCAAGTCCTCTTTTCTGAGCAGGTAAAGATCAGCAATGCAATATCCAGCAGTTCACTGAAAGATGCAGGAGAATCTCATTACCAACCCCTAGTATCAAACCGCAAAACATTGCTCGAAGCAACACCACAATCATTTCAAGAGGGATGGACTACAGCCAAAAAAGACATCAACACTCTTAAATTTGAACTCGATACTGTGAAAGCTAAGTATGTTCAACTACAAAATGACATGGAAAACTTGCAAAAACAGTTTGATAAGATCACAAAACCAAAACAAGGATCGGGTTGGACTGCAGGATGGAAAAAGTTAAGCAAGCTCACAAAGATGACACATTTAGAATCGCAAGAAAACAGTCCACACGCCCCAAATGCAGAACCGACAAGGAAGACCCCGAGAAGATGGAGAAATTCCATTTCCTGATCAATCCAAATGTTATAGAGAAAAGACTACCAGATCATACACAATACTAAATTCTGTGTGTTCGAAATTCTCAGTTTCTTTCCTATCTAAGAGAGTAGTCAAAGGGTTACTTTTAATTTACTTGATTATAGCATCAACTCATTCCTAGCTTTTTGGTGTTTGTTTTTTCTGTATGATTTGGTTTTCGAGAGTGAAGTGAGAATATATATTGTTGCATATATAGTTTCCCTGACATGCAATGTTGCTATTTGTGTTCGACTTTCAAACTATGACAACTTGACAAGACAATGTATCACCCTTAGTCAAATCAAGTGTATGTGTTATATTCTAGGTGTTTTGTATGATTCTCACAAATGTGGGGACCTGGTCTCTGTCAGAGTGATCTCGTCCAGATACAAATGGGGTACAACCGTAAAAGCTGTCATGTTAGGTGATAGGGAAAAAGTGCAGCATCCTATACCAATAAGAAGAGCGGACAAAATTGTATGTTTCAGTATCTCACAAATGCAGAGACCTGGTCCCTGACAGATTTCTCCCCATCTGATACATAATGGTGCACAACTGTAAACCTGTCTTGTCAGTGGTAGGTGAGGCGCCAATGTACTGAACCAATCAGAATGAAGGAGGTTGTTTGTCCAATGGTTGATACTTTCAACATAACAAACAACATATTAAGTTCATTCAAGAAGAGAGAGAGAGAGAGCACATCAATTCTTTGTCAAGAACTCAAGCATCAAAGAACGCAGCAAGGGACCTGATCCCGAAAAGTCTGAGCACGAGAAAAGGATTAAAAGACAGCTGCCAAAAGCTGCCAACTCTGAGAGGTTGGTGCACAACTTTTCACGACAGCAGGTTCTCAGCCAATAGCCTCGTCCCAAGAGCTTGTGTCCATTTGAATATAGACCCTTCTCCAACAACACAAACACAAGTTTTGGCAAACAAAATTCTGTATTTCAAAAATCCAAAAGCTCAAAAAGCAAAGGCCATCTTCAGAAGGATCATCCTAAGAGCAACAGGGACCTGATAGAGCTGCAAGCTACCTAGTTGTTTTAGGATTATTTCTTCCATGCTTACATTGTAGATCTGTTCCTACTCTATAAAGGATTCAAATTCTTTGTTTAGTTGAAAAGTCTAAGTTAGTTGAGTCAAACTAATTTAGTGGACAACCTTGTGTGTTGCTTAGTAAAAATCCTAAGTCATCCGAAGCGTGGTGATTTAGTGGGCAACTTGTGTGTTGCTTAGTTGAATCCTAAATTGTCTTGTGGTGATAGCTTAGTGGGCAGAGTGAGATCTGCTTAGGCTCTTCAGCAGTAGAGTTATTGCTTGGTTGTGAGATTAATAGCTTTTTTTCATGTTGTTGTAATCGGATTTCACTTTTTCTTGTGAAGATTAGTGAAAACGGTTTAAAATCTTGTGTGACAAGTCGTGGTTTTACTCTCTTGAGCAAGGAGGTTTCCACGTAAACTGTCTGTGTTGTGTTCTTCATATTGTTTAATCTTCTGCAGTGTTTTTGCTGTGTCAAAGGACTTGGTCCGTTGACTGGTAGTGGACACACATATTCTAACAGTATGTATCTTGATTTTCACATCCCTAATGGTGTGTTGCTACATTAAGGAGTGGTACTGATCATTACTCATCTAGACCATGTCTTTTTCCTGATTTAAGGAAATTGGACAAGTTTTCTCATTTTCTATCACATCTCTGTTAATCTGAAAAAATAGAAACTAGCTATATATGGAAGATATTGAAAACAAGGAATTGAATTGACCTCCAACAAAGAATGTTCTGAACTTATCTATTCCAATTTCCAAGAATAAATGGCCCATGATTGATGATAGGGCCTAAGGTTATCTCCTGAACTTTATTTTAATCTACAAATATAAAACTTTTTATTTTTTCAGACAACTAACTTTTCTATTTTCGTTCTTTAAAAAGATTCTTTTTTTCTCTCCTTAATATTATATTACTAGTAAAATCACATGCGCCTCGACAAAAATTTAATATCACGGAATTTATAAAATAATATTTAAAACCTATAAGTTACTAAAACTAAAACATTACAGTATCTTACAAACAAGATTATATAGTAACAAACATTAAGCATGTTAAGAAAGATGATAATTATAACATCTTATCATTTATCCTTCAATCAATCATCTTAAATTTGATGTTATAATTTATCTTTTTGCTTTCAAGAAGTGTTAATATTTGATGTTATGATGAATCAAATAAACATCAGTTGAAGATATTAAATTTTTTAATAAATAAATAGTCATTGTTGAAGGGATAAATAAATTTTAAAAAGACTGAAAAAGTGAATTTTGTTTTTAATTCTAATGTGTAGAAAGTTCAGTCATACCATTTGCTTTACATATATCATTTTAAAGTTCCTCATTTAAATGTATCATAAGTAATTATTAAAAAAAATTAAGGGGAAAATGTATCATATAGGACAAATGGACAATAATTCAACTTATTATATATACTTGAAAGAGAAAATATTAGGGAAAATGCACAAGTACTCCCTCAACCTATGTCCGAAATCTCAGAGACACACTTATACTATACTAAGGTCCTATTACCCCCTGAACTTATTTTATAAGTAATTTTCTACCCCTTTTTAGCCTACGTGGCACTAGTTTGAAAAAAAAGTCAACCATCGTTGGGCCCACAAGATAGTGCCACATAGGTCGAAAAGGGGTAAAAAATTATTAATAAAATAAGTTCAGGGGGATAATAGGACCTTAGTATAGTATAAGTGTGTCTCTGAGATTTCAGGCATAGGTTGAGGGGGTACTTGGGCATTATCCCAAAATATTACATAAAACTATTAAGTTTATTTGGGTGTTTTTTTAATATAAAGATTTTCTTTCTTTGTCCCAAATTATCACTTTATATAGCTTTCATATGATAAAAATTGTGTTTTCATATTTTTTACTTAATATAATATTATATCACAATCACAACAATTATCTAGATCATGACCTATTTTTTTTCTAAATAGTGCTAAATCTAAAGATGACCTATCGAAGTTCTAAATTATTGTTGTGGTAAATAAATTATTATGTTATGTTTTGTATTGTATTTTATTTTGTAATTAAATTATTTGAGAAAATGGTCTACCCCCCCCCCCCCCCAATATATTACTCAATTCTCAACTATACACTTATTTTTTATGGGAGTCCTATTACCCTCCTGAACATTTAAAAAGTATAATATATACCCCCTTAAAAATTCACACCCAAATTTATACAAAAAGGTGAAACTGCACGCGCCTTTCATGTAATATTACATTTTTTTTTGAAAAAAATCATTATTTTGTAATATTTCATCTATATTTTCCTCTTTCACTTTCACTTTCACTTTCCTTTCCCATTCCTCTCTTATTTTGATCGTGACAAACTAATTTTACAAATTTGAGGATGCATTCTACGATCTTAATCTGTATTTACTTGAATGATGCTATAAATCTTCATCAAAGTGCTTATTTTTTATAATTGAACAAAAGCGAGTCTGAATGGGTATACTTAGTCGTGGAGCTTGATTGCCGCCATTGTCACGCCCCGATTTACCCCTGAGATGCGGAAACGTAACCTAGGACCACAAGTGATCCCAAGATAACCCTGCTGGCATGATCATGGGCATAGTAACGAAAATAAACAAAAGCGGAAGCTAAATCATAATTAAATCTGTAAAGATGGGGAATACCCATATTCTATAACTGAGATATTTGAAAACAATGAGTTTAATACAAAGAAAATATAAACTCAATACTAAGTTGAATCTAACTATGTCTGAAATAAGCCTCTAAACTGGACTAGAAATACTAGGACAAGCCCCAGCTAAATCTAGCAAAAACTAAAACTAAATGACTAAAGATTGAAATGAAACACATAATGTTGTCCTCGGAGAATGATGAATCACCACTGAATATGCTAAACTAGAGATCAGAATCATTCTATGCATGATCTGGATACTGAGAACCTGAACCTACATCACGAGATGATGTAACGCACGTATGCATCAGTACTTGAAAGGTGCTGAACATGTAGGATAGAGAAAACTGAAATAAAATATAACTGAACAAACATAAAAGCAAGTATAATAATTTGACATGATAAATTAAATTCTGAATATACTAATAAATGGTTAATGCAGAGAGTTTGACTAATCTGAGGGAGCTACTAATAATCAATAATAAAACCACATACACTAAATGTGGATTCCGATGTATACGCTCCATCGAGAGGACCCAATATACCCTGTCAAATGTATGAAGGCATGCTGGCGTGATCACCAAACTGATTGCCAATAGAGGGGACTTACAACCTACTTGGCTAGTAGTTCTGGGACTAATTGGGTACACTAAACGCTAGTCTAACTCGGTATTATGCTACTCCCAATGAATTCTGTAAATTAACTGATTATGTCTGAGTTTCTATAAATACTGGATAGCTCGTAACTAGACATGCAAACTGAGAATGCAACAATTAATCTGGTAATTATGTATTTATAACTGAGGCATGTATATTGGAAATGTCTGAAATATCTGACCTAGCGTGTGTAATTCAAGAACTAAAGAAATACATAGCTTGGGTTTTGAAATTCATGAAATAAACTGAATAATTACATGATAATCTAATTTTGATGATATAACTAATAAGTTCTTGAAGTTCTCTTGAAGTTCTAGAAACCCTAGATCTAATCATGATATGGGAATAAAGAATCTAACTGAAAACTAGGGACCTTATGGGTGAAAGGAATCCACTAGTGAAATCCCACATGCCTGGTGATAAACTCTACGGAAAAATACTTAAATTTCGTGCTAGAACTGCTAGAAAGCATTGCGTTCTTGAACTAGGGTTCTTGAGCTTTTTCTCCTCTCTTTCTTCTAATTTTCTAAGTTTTGACTTAGATATATTTTAATTATGTTTCTAGGCTTAAACTGACTAAAATCTAATTATTTCGGGTCAAAACGATGTAACTTAAGGTTTAAACAAAGTGAGAAAAGATCAAGAAAACCCTGGGTAAGTTGTTGTCGGATCAAACGACGGCCAGGACTGATGGTCCCTCGTCTGACCGATGCCCCGTCGTTGGGTCCGTCGACTAGACCTGTTCGACATGCCTTTACTAAAATGGGCATAATATTTTACGCAAAGGTCTGAGTTTAGCAAGGTTGGTGGCTATGGAAATATAATTCAATCATCTATCTGTGGGTAGGTCATGGGACATCTAATTCATTTTGTGCTAAGAGTTATGACCATTTGAAGTTGACCCAACTGTATTTCCCCTTAACTGTCTGCAAATTTTCCACCTACGAACTGTGTTGGTCATCCGTACCTTTTGTCAGAGAGAAGGTGGAGGGAGTATTGATCGACGGTCACGGATTACGAATCGTCATCTGACATACGGACCGTAATTCCGTCTGTCATTCAAGACTTAACCAATTTTTCTTGGCTGAAATTTTTGAGAGTTTTTGATCCCATCGACGGTTGTGCAGGACGGATCGTGGCTCAGGCTATGGTCCGTCGGTGCCACTATTGGTTGCACCTGCAAATTTTTCTGAAAAACTGATTTTTGGTTTGTTTTGGCTACGGGTTGTTACATTATCTCCCCCTTGGGAACATTCGTCCTCGAATGAAGACTAAACTAGCTGAAATAGAGGGAGAAAGCTGCAAACCCTACTACTAAACACTGAGAACTGAGTTTCTGACTGAATTGAGTTCCGAGAACATGAAAATACGCTAAAAACGTAAGGACAAACTGAGGGACATGATTCTAAGACTAAATTCACGTATGAATGACTGGAAAACTGAAGAGGAACTATTACTTCAAGCTGGAGTGGAATCGGAAGGAAAAAGGTGAGGATACTTGGCTTTCATGGCTGTTTTTGCTTCCCAAGTAGCTCCCTTTACGGACTGACTCCTCCACAAAACCTTGACTGAAGCGACTTCTTTATTTCTCAACCTTCTAACTTGACGGTCAAGAATCTCAATTGGTACATCCTTATAAGAAAGAATATCTTTCACCGCCACACTCTCTAATGGCACTATAGATACTGTGTAACCCACACACTTCTTTAAGAGAGAGATGTGGAAGATCGAATACACTGCTGCTAATTCTGCTGGCAACTCTAACTCATATGCCACCTTGCCAACCCTTTTCAAGATCTTGTAAGGGCCTACATATCTAGAATTGAGCTTCCCTTTCTTTCCAAATCTCATCACCCCTTTCATAGGTGAGACTTTCAGAAAAACCCAATCATCAACTTGTAACTCAGTTCCCTTCTCCTTAAATCTGCATAAGATTTACGACTTTGGGTTGTCTTAAGTCTATCTCTAATGAGTTGCACTTTCTCCATAGCATAAAGGACTGAATCTGGCCCTATCAAAGCTGCTTCACCTACTTCAAACCAACCAATAGGAGATCTATATTTACGCCAATATAAAACCTCATAAGGGTCCATCTGAATGCTGGAGTGGTAGCTAATGTAGGCGAACTCAATATGAGGAAGGTGATCATCCCTACTACCTTTGAAATCGATCACACAAGCTCTAAACATATCCTCTAAGGTTTGAATGGTACGCTCTGCCTGCCCATCCGTTTGTGGATAAAATATTGTACTAAGGTTAACTTGAGTACTAAGACCTTTCTGTAATGACTTCCAGAAATGAGAGGTAAATTGAGGACCTCTATCTGAGATGATAGACAAAAGAAACCCATGCAACCTCACAATTTCGTTAATGTAAAGCTTGTCATAGTCCTCTGCCGAATCCGTAGTCTCGACCACCAATAAGCGAGAAGACTTAGTCATCCTATCAATTATCACCCAAATTGAGTCATGATGTATGTGAGTACGAGGTAACCATGTGATTAAATCCATATTGATCACATCCTACTTCCAAGTAGGAATATCGATCTCTTGAGTCATACCTCATTGTTTATGATGTTCTACCTTAACTTGCTGACAATTGGGGCACTTACTCACAAAGTCTGCTATCTCTCTTTATGCCATTCCACCTATAGACTTCCTGCAGATCGCGATACATCTTAGTGGCACCTGGGTGTGTAGAATATCTGGAGTTATGGGCTTCTGCAAGAATATGCTGGCTCAACTCACCCACATCAGGAACACACAATCAACCCTGGTAGTGAAGTACACTGTCTCCACCTTGGGAGAAAACCTCCACTCTCTGATTATGGACTCTGCACCCTTAAGTTCAAGCAAGATTGGATCATTGTCTTGCTTTACCTTAACCTCCACTACCAAAGACGATTTTACCCCATTCTGAACTTTTACACCATTGTCTTCTATGCTCATAAGGCAAACTCCCAAGAGAGCAAGCTTCTGAATTCCTTTATTACTCAACATGGGCTACACTACTCATAGATAATCTACTAAGAGCATCTGCTACTACATTAGCCTTACCCGGATGATAATGCCTACTTATATCATAATCCTTAAGGAACTCTAGCCATCTCCTCTGGCGAAGATTCAAATCTTTCTGGGTGAACAAATACTGAAGGCTCTTATGGTCAGTGAACACATCTATGTGAATACTATGCAAGTAGTGTCTCCAGATTTTGAGTGCAAACACCACTGCTGCAAGCACGAGGTCATGAGTTGGATAACTCTTCTCATGAACCTTAAGTTGTGTAGAGGCATAAGCTATTACCTTACCTCATTGCATCAACTCACAACCTAGGCCAACTCTGGATGCATCACAATATATCACATAACCATCTGAACCCTCTGATAGATTCAATATAGGAGTTGTAGTCAATCGTGTTTTCAATTCTGTAAAGCTTTTCTCACAATCATCTGACAGTTGAAACTTGATCATCTTTTGAGTCAACCTTGTCAATGGTGAGGTTATGGATGAAAATCTTTCCACAAACCTTCTGTAATAACCTACTAGACCTAAGAAACTTTTGATATCTGTAGCAGAGGTAGGTATGGGTCGCTGTTTCACTGCTTCTATCTTCTGAGAATCCACTCTGATCCCTTCGCTAGATAAAATGTGACTAAGAAAAGCAATGGATTGCAACCAGAACTCACATTTACTAAACATAGCGAATAACTGACGATCCTTGAGAGTCTTCAGAACAACTCTCAAATGACTTGCATGTTGTTCCTCACTCCTAGATTAAATGAGGATATCATCAATAAAGACGATAACGAACAAGTCCAAGTACTGTTTGAAAACTCTGTTCATCAAATCAAGGAAAGTTTCAGGAGCATTAGTTAGTCCAAACGACATAACTACAAATTCATAATAACCATACCAAGTTCTGAAGGTTGGTTTTGGAATGTCACTATCTCTGACTCTAAGCTGATGATAACCCGATCTGAGGTCTATCTTTGTGAAATGTCTAGCACCTTGAAGTTGGTCAAACAAGTCATCAATCCTGGGGATGGGATACTTATTCTTTATTGTGACCTTGTTCAACTTTCTATAGCCAATGCACATTCTGATAGAACCATCTTTCTTCCTTAAGAACAACACTAGTGCACCTCATGGTGAAATACTAGGTATAATGAAGCCCTTATCTAGCAGGTCTTTCAACTACTCTTTCAATTTCTTAAGCTCTACTAGAGCCATTATGTAAGGAGAAATAGAAATAGGCTGGGTATTTGGAAGGAGATCAATTCCAAAGTCGATTTCCCTTTCGGGAGGGACTCAGGGAAGATCTTCTGGAAATACTTCTGGAAATTCACAGACTACTGAAACTGACCCAAGAGTTAGGGTTTCAAGGCTAGTATCCTTAACCCGAACTAGATGATAGATATAACCCTTAGATATCAACTTTCTGGCCATAAGGTAAGAAATAAATCGACCCATAGGCGCTAAGCTACTACCCTTCAATTCTAAGATTGGTTTGTCTAGAAACTAAAAAACAAACAATCGTAGTTCTACAATCGACTGAGGCATAACATGAGTGTAACAAATTCATGCCTAGAATGAATCGAAGTCTATTATTCTAACTCTACTAGATCTGCTGAGGTGACTTTCTGAGAGATTGTGATAGGGCAATTTCTGTATACTCGACTAGCTATAATTGGGTCACCGACTGGAGTAGAGACTAAGAAAGGTTCTGAGAGAGTTTCTGGACTGACATTGAATTGGACTGCTATGTAAAGAGTTAAAAAAAAGAAAGAGTAGCCCCTGGATCTAACAATGAATAAACATCAAGGTCAAAGACACGTAATGTACCAATGACTACATCATGAGAACCTTCATGATCCTGGAGAGTGTGAAGAGCATACAACCTGTTCTGGCGCTGACCGCCACCTATACTAGATGAGTTACCTTGCTGAGTTGGGCGACTTGCTGCTGCTGCTGAAGTTGTAGACTGAGCTCTACCATTACCACCTCCTTGACCTTGTCTAGAAGGACAATTCCTCAACCTGTGACCAGACTGACCGAACCCAAAACATTCCTCTTTTTCTTCAATACACTCGCCTGGATGGTTCTTACCACACTTAGGGAAAGTGGGGTAAGTCTTGGTGCCTGAAACACTTCCCTGAGATTTAGAGACTGGTGGTCTACCCTTCTGGTCATACCTGTTCTTGGAGGATGGAACACTGGCTGATGAAGGGGCTGGAGCCCAAAACTTCTGCTAACCCTGCGAGATATTTCCATCACCAGATTTCTGCTGAGAATAGTCATAGTTCCTAGTCCTAACCTTCTTATTTTCCTTAGCCTGTTCCCTAAGCTTATAACCCTCAACCTGCTGAGCATGAGTCATAAGTCTAGAGATGTTCATATCTCCAAGTAACATCGCATTTCTGCACTCAATTTTCACCAAATCTGACACTCCATAAAAAAACTTATTCATCTAAGCCCTGGAGTCAGCAACCATGTGAGGAGCATACCTGGAGAGTTGGTTAAACTTGTGTCCATACTCTTGGACTGTCATGTTACCTTGCCTTAAGTTCATGAATTCTTGGGCTTTTGCTTTTCACAACTCCATTGGGAAAACCTGTCGAGAAAAGTCTCACTAAAGTAGTCCCAAGTGATAGGAGCCGCATTTGCACCCCTATTCTCCTTCCACTGAGTGTACCAAATTTGATCAACATCCTTCAATTGGTATGATGCTAAGTCAATCCGATCATTCCTAGTGACTTGCATTACCTCAAAGATCTTCTTGATCTTATCCAAGAAATTATGAAGATCCTTATTAGTCTGCGATCCTAAGAACTCAGGCGGATTCATCCTAACAAAGTCACAGACCCTTGCTCCTACTGATCCACAATTTTCATTCACATGAGCATGAACTCGATCGTTTTGGTTAGTCATACTCTTAGCCAACATTTGTATGGAAATTCTGAAATCAACATTGGAGACTTCCTGATCTGGGGCTGGAGGAGCTGCGTTTGCATTTCTGGCGTTAGCTCTACGAGGAGGCATGATCTGAAATGTAGAACGTCAAGTTAATAAAGAATAAGATCATACCTCACGCACGATAAGAGTAACAAGAAAGTGAAGTTTTTCCTAAAATATTTCATAGCCTCCCTCTCCTTAGATGTGGTGCACTTCACACCCATGAAAAGGATCTACTTAGTGTGGCTTTTTAGACATCCTAGGACACTTAAACCTAGTGCTCTGATACCAAGTTTTGTCACGCCCCGAGCTACCCCTGAGACGCAAACACGTAACCTAGGACCACAAGTGATCCCAAGCTAACCCTGCTGGCATGATCATGAGCATACTAACGAAAATAAACAAAAGCGGAAGCTAAATCATAATTAAATCTGTAAAGATGGGGAACACCCATATTCTATAATTGAGATATTTGAAAACAATGAGTTTAATACAAAGAAAATATCAACTCAATACTAAGTTGAATCTAACTATGTCTGAAATAAGCCTCTAAACTGGACTAGAAATACTAGGACAAGCCCCAGCTAAATCTAGCAAAAACTAAAACTAAATGACTAAAGATTGAAATGAAACACATAAATGTTGTCCTCGGAGAATGATGAATCACCACTGAATATGCTAAACTAGAGATCGGAATCATTCTATGCATGATCTGGATATTGAGAACCTGAACGTACATCATGAGATGATGTAGCACACGTATGCGTCAGTACTTGAAAGGTACTGAACATGTAGGATAGAGAAAACTTAAATAAAATATAACTGAACAAACTTAAAAGCAAGTATAATAATTTGACATGATAAATTAAATTCTGAATATACTAATAAATGGTTAATGTAGAGAGTTTGACTAATCTGTGGGAGCTACTAATAACCAATAATAAAACCACATACGCTAAATGTGGATTCCGATGTATACGCTCCATCGAGAGGAACCAATATACCCTGTTAAATGTATAAAGGCATGCTGGCGTGATCACTAAACTGATTGCCAATAGAGGGGACTTACAACCTACTTGGCTAGTAGTTCTGGGACTAATTGGGTACGCTAAACGCTAGTCCAACTCGGTATTATGCTACTCCCAATGAATTCTGTAAATTAACTGATTATGTCTGAGTTTCTAAAAATACTGGATAGCTCGAAACTAGACATGCAAACTGAGAATGCAACAATTAATCTGCTAATTATGCATTTATAATTGAGTCATGTATATCTGAAATATCTGAACTAGCATGTGTGATTCAAGAAATAAAGAAATAAATAACTAGGTTTTTGAAATTCATGAAATAAACTGAATAGTAACATGATAATCTGATTTGGAACATATAACTAATAAGTTCATGAAGTTCTAGAAACTCTAGATCTAATCATGATATGGGAATCAAGAATCTGACTGAAAACTAGGGACCCTATGGGTGAAAGGAATCCACTAGTTAAATCTCACATGCCTGATGATGAAATTCACGGAAAAATACTTAAGTTTCGAGGCTGGAGCTGCTGGAACTTGTTGCGTTCTTGAACTAGGGTTCTTGATGTTTTTCTCCTCTCTTGCTTCTAATTTTCTAAGTTTTGATTTAATGATTTGACTTAGATATGTTTTCATTATATTTCTAGGCTTAAACTAACTAAAATCAGATTATTTGGGTCAAATTGACGTAACTTAAGGTTTAAATGAAGTGGGAAAAGACCAAAAGATCCCTGGATAAGTTGCTGTCGGACCAAACGACAACCAGGATGGACGGTTCATCCTCTGGCCGATGCCCCATCATTGGGTACATCGACTGGGCCTGTTCGACAGGCCTTTACTAAAATGGTCATAACTTTTACTCGGAGGTATGATTTAAGCAAGATTGATGGCTATGGAAAGATAATTCAATTATCTATTTGTGTGTAGGTCATGTGACACCTAATTCATTTTGTGCTAAGAGTTGTGACTATTTGAAGTTGACCCAATTGCATTTTCCCCCTAACTGTCTGCATATTTTCCACCTACAGACCGTTTTGGTCATCCGTAACTCTTGTCAGAGAGTAGGTGAAGGGAGTATTGATCCACAGTCACGGACTTCAAACTGTCGTCTGACCTACGGACCGTAAGTCTGTTTATCGTCCAAGATTTAGTAATTTTTTTGGGCTGAAATTTTTGAGAGTTTCTGATTCCATAGATGGTTGTGCAAGACGGACCATGGGTCAGGCTACGGTCCATCAATGCCACCATTGGTTGCATCTGCACATTTTTCTGAAAAATTGATTTTTGGCTATGGGGTGTTACAACCATCTTCTAAAAGCTTCATCGGAGTTATGAACACCATCAAAATTTTGAAGCTTTCTATTAAAGCTAATTTTTAACAATGTTGAGCAACCCATTTCGATTATTGGGACTTTTTCATTAATGAGTTTGTCATCTAAGGATTCCATTGATGAATTCTACTCCATTGGAAGATCTGTTATGTCACGACCCAAATCGGGCCGCGACTGGCACCCACACTTACCCTCCTATGTGAGCGAACCAACCAATCTAAACCTTAACATTTCAATATAATATCAACAGAAAGTAATGCGGAAGACTTAAACTCATTAATAAAAACCAATTCAATAACTTCAAAAAAAAAACTCAATAACTATTATTATCCCCAAAATCTAGAAGTCATCATCACAAGAACATCTACTTCAAATTACTAAATTTAAGAGTATCTAAGAAGCTAAAATATATAAACAGCTAGTCCATGCCGGAACTTCAAGACATCAAGACATGAAGAGGAGGATCCAGTCCAAGCTAGAAGCATTAGCTCACCCTGATATCCGGAGTAATGAAGACTGGCTAGAGTTGCGATTGAGTTGAAGACGACGGTACGTTTGCTGCACTCCACAATTACCATAACCCTTGGTTACAATACCAAGCACATCAATGAGGACTCACGCCTCCTCATCATACTCATTTGGGAATTAGGTTCATTAGATTGAGTATATTAACATCTTTCAAGATTCATTATCTTTATTCCTCTCGTGTCGGTACGTGACACTCCGCTCCTCATATACTATCCTGGTGTCGGAACGTGACACTCCGATCCTCATTCTATCCTGGTGTTGGAACGTGACACCCGATTCATATTCTACCCTGGTACCGAAACGTGGCACCCCGATCCATATACTATCCTGGTGTCGGAACATGACACCCGATCCATATACTATCCTGGTGTCGGAACATGACACTCCAATCCTCGTATACTATCCTGGTACCGGAACGTGGCACCCGATCCATATACTATCGTGGTACCGGAACGTGGCACCCGATCCATATACTATCGTGGTGTCGGAACGTGACACTCCGATCCTCATATAATATCCTGGTACCGAATCGTGGCACCCGATCCCCTAATCTCACTACTTTCGTTCATCAAGCCTTCTTTTATACTAAGGCATCATCATTAACAAAGTAGATTAGGGTTTCTTTTTCAAGATTTAGAATTCAATAGCTTCATCATGCTTATTTTATCACAATTATATAATCACAACATGCAAACACATAATTAAGCATATAGAAGGGTTTACAACACTACCCAATACATATCATTCGCTATTAAGAGTTTACTACGAATAGTATAAAAACCATAACCTACCTCCACCGAAGATTAGTGATCAAGCAAGCAAATTCCCCAAGCTTTTGTTTTTTCTCTTCGTTCGTCTCTCTCTAGCAATCGTTTTTCCCTCTCTTGTTCTTTCTATTTTCTTTATTCCAACCCTCTTTCTTTTACCCTAATTAGCATATAATTAAGAATAAAAGATGGCAATAATAACCCACTAATTTACTCAAGGATACCTCTTTTAACCCCCAAGTAGTTAGACCTTTTAACATTAACCCACTAACTTTATAATTAAAGCAGGAATAGTCAAAAACGTCCCTTAAAACATTAAGGAAATCTGACTCAGCCTGGGATTACGCAGCCTGTGACGGCCCGTCGTGCCTGCGACGGTCCGTCCTGCTGCTCCGTCACAGAGTTCAGAGACTCAATTCCCTTAAAGAGTCTGTGACGGTCCGCCACGCCTGTGACGGTCCGTACTGCCATTCCGTTACGAAGTTCAGAGAGTCGATTTCAGTACCCATTTTTCAGAATTTCTAAGTGTTTTGAAACGAGACCCCCTCGACGGTCCGTCGTGCCCATGACGGTCCGTCGTGGGATCCGTCGTCTCAGCCAATTTTCCAGAAATAACATCTGTTGCTCAAAACGACTAAACAGGTCATTACAATAGATACCAATTTACCCATCGTTCGTCCTCGAACGATCATAATAAGAAAAACGAGGGCGAAAAGAAGTACCTAAATCTGTAAACAGGTGTGGGTATCTTTCTTGCATATCAACCTCTTTCTCCCAAGTGGCTTCTTCAACGGGTCGATTCTTCCATTGAACTTTGATAGATGCAATTTCCCTTGACCTCAACTTGCTAACTTCTCTATCTAAAATAGCCACAGGCTCCTCTTCATAAGACAAATTTTCATCAAGTAGCACTGAATCCCAACGAATGATGTAGTTTCCATCCCCATGGTATCTTTTCAACATAGACACATGAAATACCGGATGCACTCCGGACAGCCCTGGAGGCAGGGCTAACTCATAAGCCACCTCCCCTATTCGCTTAAGTACTTCAAATGGTCCAATATACCTTGGGCTTAGCTTACCTCTTTTTCCAAACCGCATCACCCCTTTCATGGGCGAAACCTTCAGCAAGACTTGCTCACCCTCCATGAACTCCAAGTCTCTAACCTTTCGATCTGCATATTCCTTTTGCCTGCTTTGAGCCGCTAAAAGCTTTTCTTGAATGTGTTTCACTTTATCTAATGAATCGCTCAAAAGATCAGTACCCCAAGGTCTAACCTCAAATGCATCAAACCAACCAATGGGAGACCTACATCTCCTCCCATATAGTGCCTCAAATGGGGCCATATCAATGCTTGAGTGATAGCTATTGTTGTAGGAGAACTCTGCTAAGGGTAAGAAGCTATCCCAACGACCACCAAATTCTATCACAC